ATGAGAGACCCTGATCAAGAACTGCAATGAGACGTAATGTAAAAATGCACGAGAGAGCATCCTCTGTTCTCCATGAGCATGTTCCATAGATAAACCTGTTCCTCATAAAGACTCAGGTTAATACAAAACGCATCATTTCTTTACTCAGTGAGTCATTTTCTAGTTATTGTTGGAGACGCAGCCAGTTTTTCCAGAAAGAACAACTCTGAAGTTCTGAGTAGTGAGCTCATTTTCATATGCAGAAAGTAAACATCTAATTTGTTTCTATTTACTTCCAGTGTCTTAGCACTTTCATTACTTTTTAATAGTAACTGTTCTCTTGTGCATAGAAGATCGAGTATTAAAGTTGCCATAGTGAAATAAGGATGAAAATAAGAAAAATATACTATTATGTTTTTAACTTCCTTTGTCCAACAATACTCACCAGTGGGTATTAATATATCTCCCTCCCCCTAATTTAATGTTTATATACATAGTATGCATTTTTACCATCTTCGTCCCTTACTAGCCAGTAGAAGTTTTCCAACATTAACTTAATATATACCTTCTCAGATACATCCTTTTTCTTACATTTTAAAACCATATCAAGTACAGCTATTGCTGTCCTATGTTCAAGGGTGAGAGGTTATCCATTGGGACATGGGTAACTTACGTGGGGACATTATCTGAAGAAAAATGATTCCCACTCCCCTCGTAGCCCTAAGCTATCAAGAGCTCTGCAGCCTTGGGGACCCTTTTGTAAGGCTTCCCTTTAACAGAAAGGTGACTGGCTTGATTGTGGTTAGGTAACCAGGACTACTGTGTGGTCGTGAGTGCAATTTCCCTGTCATATTCAGAAGACATTGCTTCACAGATGTCCTCTTTGCCTCGGGCTTCGACAAAGTGTCTCTGTCACTTGTTCGAATGATTATGGGTTTAAATACCCACGGGGCTGACTACTGCAGAGTTTCTTATTCTCTTCATGAATCGCTGATCACTGAAAACTATGTTTCTCTGATGAGAGCTGAGAGCTCCATTAACTGAAAGTATGAGAATGAATATTTAGGAGACAGCTTCCCTGTTTTCCTAATAGAATGTAGTAAATAGGAGATTTAATGACTTGGTACCTGACCCATGACCACAAGGGGGCAGTAAGATATAAAGACCTTTATTAGGGTGGTTCTCTGAAGATAGTTTTCCTTCCAATAAATCTCATACAGTATGAGATCAGCGGTGGGGTTGGATAGACACCACAATGGGCAAAAATATACAGAAGTATATAACTAGATCTTATTCGCAGTGTGAAAGGATTGGGTTAGAGGGCAAAATGTGGTAGAAGTGCCTGGTAATAATTCCGAAGTATTTCTTAGCTCCGGCTATAAGATTTGAAAAGTTCTTGCATGATATACAAAGCCAATAGGCTCTAACTATATAACTTCGTTGAGCTTATTTAAAGAAGTTGCCTTTCTAAAGGCAACTAATTTGACTGTCTACAAGGTGCAGCCTACAATGAAGACTTCAATGACACACACAGCATGTATACAGAGATAATGTCTGACCCCTATTGCTAAATGTGGAAAATCAAAACTCAAAATTCTAGTTATAGTAAGTGTCCCTCAGAACTGAACAAAGGGAAATTTATTAGGAAAGGTAGAACACTCAAGTTTCCTATTTCCTGAAACAGTCTATTCGCTTTGATCCTTGTACCATTATTAAACCCTCTATGGCATCCCATAAATCAAATGATTAACACTATTCCTCTCTACATAGGAATTTATTAGTAAATTTGTCATTTCATTGGTGTCATTTCGCATGAGTTCCTTAGCTGATAACAACCAGCCTTCTTGAGAACACAAGAAGTTGTGAAATCTGTACCTGTATTTCTCTCAGAATTTATTTCCCGGCTCAACAGCTTAATTTTATACAGATTCATTGAAATTTCTTAGTGAAGCCTCAATAAAACTCTAACGGTTTCAACTAAGTTAAGACTTGAAGGATCCTAGGTTCTGACTCTATCACGCTGAGCCCTGTAATTTTTATTAGATGTATATCTTTCTTCATATGCTTCCCACCTTTTAAAGGTCAATGGTAAATAAAAAAAATTAAAAAAAGGTCAGTGGTATTGGACTAAATGAGACATTATGAAGATTCCTTACACTCTTCTTTCAAGGAGATCTGGACTGAAAAACATTTTTCCTCTAAATTTACTAAAAGCTTGGGCTACCTGACCACACATGCCTATACTATGGAAATATTTTTATTAAATTTCTGGTCTGTATCAAGCTGTTGAGTTCTACCTAGTGAAATTACTTTTATCATTTGAGTAGATTTTAATTTCAATGACTATAATTCATAATTAAGATGCAAATTGAATACTATATGCTACCTATGCTATTTTCCTGATTTGATCTTCTAATGAAAGATTATTCTCAAACAATCTTGAAAATAATTAGCTTACAAAGAGAGGTTGGTTAAATGATCTTTCTGCTACTGTTTTAGGCAATAGAACAAGAGTAGTTGAAAATAAAGCGTTGCAGGAGTGACTTAACTTTCATGAAGGAGAACATAATAGGATTTGACAGGAAATGAGGCTACCTACAAAGAGAGTTACATATTTCCAAAGAGTGGGAAACGTTTACAGAATGAAACGCTAATGTGAATAGATGATTCTAAACCATGGTGACAGAATATAGTTGTTTCTGCTTCTACTGTAGAAAAAAAAAAGGAGAGGGGATGCTTATGCTACCACATTAAGGGAGAACTGCAGAATGTGTTGGCACTGCTCCAAGCAATGGAGAGTTTCAGTGCTTGCCCTGACCTAGCATGTTTAGATGACAGAAAGGTGTATGACCAAGTGGGAGGTTGATGATGAGCTAATTTTAAATTACAAAGAGCCATGTTCCTACTTAAGCTTCCAGGAAAGTGATGCAATTGGAAATGATTTAGATTAAGTCATTGAACATTGTGGAGATTTGAGAAATGACAAGAACATGCTGTTTGTCATAAGCAGTAAACTGTGGAATTTTCATAATTACATCTGATTAGAGTCATAGAAATTGTAAAGAGGTTGGTGGTGTAACAGTAGGGAAGGATGTAACTTCTCTGGATTAACCACACCATTATACACATAATTTATTTGATGAAACAGTTTTTGTTGTTTTCTTTTATAGTATCATATTTATTCTGTGAAATCAAATGGCAGGTAGAAATATGAGATCAATCTTAGATATCCATCCTCCTCAAAAGCAACTTAAGAGCTAGAGAGACCATAAACAGCCAAGGAGGCAGCTAACTCCCGGAAAATAATTGTATCCACTGACCTCCACACGCATGCTATTGCATGAGCACACACACACACAGACACACACACACACACATATGCACACACATATGCAAACACAAATAAGGAAAACAAATAACAAAAAGAGCAACACAAATGCATCAAGAAGTTGAGTAAAATAGAATGGAAGGAAACATTGAAGCCTTAGAGAACTTAGTAAAGGGATTTTGAAGCATAGGAGAAAACCTTTCTATCATTGATTTTCCTAAGGAAAAGCTTATAATATTAATTTTATTTGTGGAAATAAATGAAAAAGGAAGGCTACCTATAATCTCCCATAGCAAATTGTAACATTTTACTATTTAGCTCTTTAGAGAAAAATCTTTCTTGATCTTAGAGCAATAATAATTGAAAATAGTTTGAATACTTAAATTTGTGAGAGATTTTCAAAGAATACTAACACTGTATATTACTGAATGCAAGCATTTTCTAATAAAAAGTGTGAATGAGGAAGATAATTTTATTATTACTAAGAAGTTTACGGCTGTACTTTGTAGAAAGAAAGGGCAAATTCATGGGAATATAAACATCCATAGAGAATTTAATTAGGTTCAGCAATTGTTAACAATGGAATTCATTCTGACAGAAAAAGTGAATTGACAGACAAGACAAGGCTCTTTCTCTGTGAGTCTTCTTTGAATCTCTCCTCACATTGGTATAAAAGGCCTCAGAATAATTTATAATACTTTTGCAAAGTATTCAGTAAATGTCAGAATGTAATGAAGTTGACGCTATCTTCAGAAACATTCGTCATACCTTGACTTACTCTCAATATTATCTTGTTCTTTACATGTGTTTGTTACTTTTAAGATTATATGCATTTAAATGTCAGGATGTAATAGGTTCCAGTAGACTAATTAATAACACATCATGACTGCACAACATCATTTTCTATGCTGATAAAGTCTCAACATATCCCTCATCAAAATGAATAAAAATACTAATTAAAAATATAATAATTATTAATGTATTTTCATTTGCAAAATACTTTTTATGGCACCACATATTTAATATGAGATTATTAAGCATCTTGATTCATCAGTTACAACTTTTCCATTTTACAAATGAAAAACACTAGGGTTTATGGAGATTGTGTAATGCATGCCAAGTTAAGTGGCTGTTGCCAGATTGACCTTAAGGAGCTCAGCTGAAGGAGCTTAACTGCTAAGGCTGGGAATTTAAAACAAGATCTGCTGTTTTCCAAGCAAAATGAGAATCACTGAATCTTATTTAGACAAGGGCATATAGACAGGCACATAACATCTAAAGACAACAATCAGATATAAACAAAAGAGGTGGGTTTTATTTGAAAATAGGAAAGGTAAGATTATAATATAAAAAAAACTAATGAGCTCATTAACTTTTTTTTTATCATAATTAGGAAAGTTATCCAGGAATACCCTCTTTCTTGCTAGTTTTGAATCAGTCAGATCAGTGGATCATGCCTTTGTTTTAAGAACAATCAGCTGAGCTCCCAAAAGCAACTGCTTACTTAAACTTATGCCAGACACATGATGCTGAACGAATGGCTAGAGGATGGAACTCAGTTTTGAATCATTCTTCTCATATTATGTTTGCTCTTAAAAAAAGGGATGCAAAAATTGAAAAATATCTCACATAGGACACAGGAATAAATAAGAAAATTGGCTGTAAGAACAAGAAAATAGGCTGCAAGACCTTTAAAATTTTGCTTTCAGACTTTACATGAAAGACAAAAGTCAGGATTTACACAGGGACCATGCTAATCTTCTCTGTATACTAATTTTAGTTTATGTGATGCCAAAGCAAGCACAAGCACACTTACATTTGAAAACTATAGTCATGATTCGGCGTCTTTTTGTCTTTTTTTTGCTGTTTCCTGATACATAATAACAACGTGTTTATATAAAATCTTTATATTTTTTCTTAGGGTTTTTTACTACAAGGCATATGATATGGTATTAAGACCACCTATTCAAAACCAACCATATGATAAAATATTACTAAAAATTATTTTTGGTTTTACCTTTGGCATAGATATCACAAACCTAATTTTGGATCATGGCACTGTAGGATAAAGTCCAGGTGTCATAGGCTTACTGACCTCTTAGTCAATAGACTAAGACTTTTATATTTGTGAGAGTCAGAGCAAAATCTCCAAGGGTGCCTTATCTATTAACTATTACTGTTTATAAGACTAAACCTCTTTCTTTTAAATCCTAAAATCAAAACCAATGGCTTTTGCAATCTCGGCCAAATCTACACAATTAAAAACTTAGGGAGGCAGAGGCAGGTGGATCTCTGTGAGTTCGAGACCAGCCTGGTCTATAGAGCTAGTTCCATCACAGGCTCCAAAGCCACAGAGAAACCCTGTCTCGAAAAACCAAAAAAAAAAAAAAAAACAAAAAAAAACTTACTGGTTAAAAAAGTATTTTTGGTTACACTTACAAGCATTTAAATTATAAAAATATTTAGGATCCTATGATCTCAAGAAAATTTAGATACCCATAAAAAGATAATTCATATTGTATAAGCATTGAAATAGAAGTAAACATTTATCATTTGAAAGGATCAAACAAATGGTGAGTCAAGCCTACATCAAGGGAAAATGCAATTGTATTTATTATTTAGTTTCTCAGGCTGATTTTTTTGTACAGTGTTTCTTTTTACATTATTAATTTATCAGCCGTGAGTAAGACTGAAGAGGCAATGTATATTCCGTCACAAACAAATAAATCCACGATGCCATCATCTTATTCACACAAAGTTTCTTTCCATACTAATATCTTCACAAGCCTATTTAAATTAATTGGAACTCTCTAACTTAAATACATTTCTACTTAAAAATCTTCAACTTCTTTCTGTTCCCCCATCATTACATCATTTGCTTTTAGACCATTACATGAACTTGAAAAGAAATGCATGCAATGAATTTACTTGGAATCTAGTGGCTAGTTTTGAACCTGAGCTCAGTCATAAGATGAAAAGCAAAATGGGATTCACTTTAAATTTTTGTAACTCCCTGACATTTCTAAGTACATATTAAGCAACTGTTTAAAAAATAATCTTTGGTGAAAACCATGAGTTTGAAGAGCATGATAAAGGAGCTTCCAAAAGGAGCATGTGTGACAATACAATAATCCTATTGTAAATGGTGACCTCATGGGATCTGCATATTGGGGGCTCTTTGCATCAATGAGCCTTCCACTACATACATGTATATGCATCGTTATGTATCACTTGAAAGTTTATCTGCTTTAAATTTAATTTTTTCTTATTTTTATTTCCTATTTATGTGCATTTGCTTAGAGTTTTGTTCATTTAGCAACCTCAGGGTCCAAAGGATATCCTTGGAACCCCAAGATAAGGAGTTTCAGGCTACTGTGGTTTACAGATGTGGGTTCTGGGAATGAACTAGTCCTCATCCAGAGAAGTATATTCTCACTCAGTGAGATCTACTCAGAGGATATCTTCAATAGTTGATATACTCAGTAGTATATTCTTACTCTTAGCCATTGAGATATCAAACCCTACTATGTACTTTTAATAAAGCCTGTATCTCACCTTTCCAACTTGAACTATCATAGGCAGAAAAACAGGTGTAAGACACAATGAAGAAGTATGAAAAGATAAACAAGAAATCGAAATGCAATTAAATACTTACTAGCTATGGAGGTTATAAACCACTGTGGCAAGATTTTGTAGGAGGAGAGCTGCTTGCTCGTCCTGGCCACGCAGAACTAAAACACCACACAGAAACTGTATTAATTAAATCACTGCTTGGCTCATTAGCTCTTGCTTCTTATTGGCCAACTCTTACGTCTTAATTTAACCTATTTTTATTAATCTGTACATCACCAGCAAATGACCTACCAGCAAAGTTCTGGCATGTCTTACTCTGGCAGTGGTTCCATGGTGCCTCTCTCTGCCTCTTCTTCCCAGCCTTCCGTTTAGTTTTCTCTGCCTAGCACTGTTCCCCTAATAGCTCTGCTATAGGTTCAAAGCAGTTCCTTTATTAACCAATGAAATCAACACATAGACAGAAGGCCCTCCTACACCAAGATTGACACTAGTCATCCTTATATTGACAATGAGTGAGAGGAATAAGGACCTTAATCAACCCACATGTTTACCTTGGACTATGTTAAATATGAGCATCTAAGATGTTTTAGTTACATTTCTAGAGCTGTGATAAAGACCTTGACCTAAAGCAGCTGTGATAAAGACAGGGAGGAAAGGCTTGTAAGTTATTGTTCCTTATTAAGGGAAACCAGGGCAGGCATTCGTACAAAAACTGAATTAAAGGTTATGTATAAGTACTGATTACTGACTTGTTCAATATTCATTATATTTTGGCCATATTAAGCATTTACATGACCCATTAGTCAGGTGCTTTTTACTTAGCAATATCATACATTAGAAACTGACATCGGCAGGGCCTGTGAGATATATCAATAATATAAAGGTGCCTGCTGACGAGGCTGATGACATGAGTTCCATTATGATGGCACTCAAGTTGGAAGGAGAAACCACTTTCTGTTATTTGTCCTCTGGCTTCCAAATGTGGGCAAGATAATGATGTGTATATGAACACATATGTTAAATAACTAAATAAGGCAAAAATTCAACAAAAGGCAATGACAGTGTTCTATATATCTTTTAGAGATTTTCAGGACCAATTATCAGCAGTTTCAATCTTCATTCAGTTCAGTTACCTTTAGGAAAATATAATCCAAATTCATAAAATGGGGATACTTTATAATTTAACAGTTCATATAATATTGACTGTTATTATTTTTCATGTTATATGTATATACTATTATATGTGTGTGTAAGTGTCTATATATTTTGTGTGCAGAAGTAATTTATATACAGCTTAGTGATAGAAATGGTTTAAGAAAACTACTTTATGTCTTGGAGCATATCTTATGTGGGTAAGGCGCAAAAATTAAGGAAACATACATTGTGAGAGTCTCTAATACAAAGATGTGTCTTAGAAACAACAAAAAATTATTGAATCTAGACTGTCTAACATAATCCATGTTTACTTTGATGACTTGATCAAACACCTAACTTTCTTAGCATTGATTTAGAATTAATGAAAGATCATGTCATGAGAATAAAAGACCCAAGCATTTGGTGTCCTAGAAGTGAGCTTCAATTCATTTGAGTCTGCCTTGTAAATTTCTGCCCAACAAATAAAAACAAAAGTCATCTGAAATTACTAAAATTATAATTTTCTATTCTCTACACAAGTCTCTCAAAAGAGGTTTTCTTTGTGTTTTGCCTTTTGCTTCCTTTCAACTTTGTTATTCCTTGCAGTGAGCAACACTGCACTCTGATAATTTCCACATTGAAAGTCATTTCCTCACAGGCGATAAATCCATAGTTCAGGAGAGTAATTCAATTTTCTTACTTATGCAGCATCATGCTCCATGCTGAGTCCTGACTACTCTTTTGGTTCCATAATACTGTCCACGGAATCCTGAGCTTAGTTTTGCTGAAAGTTAGACCTTTCATGTCAGATTTAGTAATTGACCTAAGTGCTATAAAAAGAATAATCTTAAGCATTTGCATATTAGTTATATAGAGGCCGCCAAATAGTTCTGTTTATGACCTTCCTTCTACTTACCGTTGATTTCTACTCTTCCTCTAATGGGAGAGATAAAAAGAAGTATCAACATCATTATTCTTTCTTCAGCTGTTAAACCTCCTGTCCAAATCTTTAAGTCTGTCATTCACATGCTACCTGGAGAGTCAAAGTCAAATATTCTTTTGAACTCAATAGTTGATATTCTAACTTTACACAATCTTTGAAAAATTATGGGAGGAGGGTATCTCTCTAGATCATCAACACTCCTATATATTTTCAAATTGAAATATGAATTTTAACAATATGTTTTCTCCTTCCTGAGATATAAACTTGATTTTGGTTTGTTATATATGTCTCGATTCAGCCATGTTTCTTGTCTCTATGGACTATCAAATCACTTTGGTTGAACACTGAGATAAGATTGGAATTATTTTCAGCTTTTTAAAATGTATTTTAAAGAAGCAAGAATCAAATGTATCAACTATTTATTTATTTATGTCCAATACCCTTCTTTTAACATTTTTTTTTGTATATGATCAAACTTGAAAATATTGCAAAATATTGCTTCTACAAGTTTTGTATAAAGTTAGTAAGATTTGTATGACACCTTGATTTTTGAGATAGGTTTTTTTTTTTTTTTTTCTGTAGCCTTGGGCCAGTCCTGGAACTAGCTCTTGTAGATTGGATGCCCTCAAACTCACAGAGATCTCCTTACCTCTCTGCCTCCAGAGTGCTGGGATCAAAGGCATGCGCCATCACTGCTTGGCTTCCTGAGAATTTTATAGGGAAGCAGAGGAGATAAATGAGTAGTAGCCAGATCTCTCACTGGCTTCTACAGGATTGGTAGTGCTACCGCAATGGTTCGGTGCAATGTTATCTACTTAGATACTAACAAGTACGCTATGTTTAACAAATGAAGAGTTAGTATCATGCAATCTATTATAATCCTGTGGTGTGGGAGGTCCTTCTGTCTATATGTTGCTTTTATTGGTTAATGAATAAAGAACTACATTAAGCCTATGACAAGGGCAGAACAGGACTAAGCAGGAAAAGCTAGGCTGTATGCTGGGAGAAAGAGGGTGGAGCCAGAGAAGAAGTCATGGAGCTGCTGCTGGAGACAAACTCTGGAAACTTCACCAGGTAAGCCACAGTCACATAGCACAGATTAATGGAGATGGGTTAAATTAATATGTAAGAGTTAGCCAATAAGAAGCTAGAGC